TAAAATTTTGCAAATAAATAATCTTTCTTCAGAAATGTAGGCCAAAATGTATTCTGCTAAATTTTTTGGGTGAATATAGCCCAAAACATTGTATATTATTTAGACTGTGTGAATGTTATAAAGTCTACAAACGATGGGATATATATATAAAAATTGATTAGTTTAGACCCTTAAATGCTGGACACTGGTATGGGGTATGGCAATGATCAGGATACTGGTATGGTAGTTAGCAAGATGCATGTTTGGGGTATCACAGTGATCAGGATACTGGTAAGGGGTATGACGGTGATCAGGACGCTGGTATGAGGTATGGCAGTGAGGAGGACGCTGGTATGGCATGGGGTGATCAAAACGCTGGCATGGGCGATGGTGGTTATCAGAATGCTGGTATGGCGGTGATCAGGATACTGGTGTGGCATATAGCAGTGATCAGAGCACTGCTATGGCATATGGCGGTTATCATGGCACTGATCAAGACGCTGGAATGGCGGTGATCAAGATGCTGGTATGGGGTATGGCAGTGATCAGAACGCTGGTATGGGGTATGACGGTGATCAGGACGCTGGTATGGGGTATGACGGTGATCAGGATTCTGGTATGGCATATGGGGTGATCAGAACACTGGTATGGGTTATGCTGGTGATCAGAATGCTGGTGTGGGCTATGGTGGTAATCAGAACGCTGGTGTGGGCTATGGTGGTAATCAGAATGCTGGTGTGGGCTATGGTGGTAATCAGAATGCTGGTGTGGGCTATGGTGGTGATCAGAACGCTGGTGTGGGCTATGGTGGTGATCAGAACGCTGGTATGGGCTATGGTGGTGATCAGAATTGCTGGTATGGGGTATGGCGGTGATCAGGATGCTGGTATGAGATATGGCGGTAATCAGGGCACTGGTATGGTGTATGGTGGTGATAAGGGCGCTGGAATGGCGTATGACAGGGATCATGGTGCTGGTATGAAATATGGCTGTGATCAGAGCAATGCTATGGCATATGGTGGTGATCAGGACGCTGGTATGGTGTATGTCGGTGATAAGGGCGCTGAAATGGTGGTGATCAGGACATTGGTATGGTGTATGGTGGTATTTTTGTGCGCACTGGGACAGGTGAGAGGAGCTGGCTTCATTTTTTATTTACACTACACTGGGACAGTGATCAGAGACACTGGGGTGTCTGGCACTGCAGTCTGTGAGTGTACAAGCAGCCTGACAGGCTGCTTGTACACTCTCAGGCTGCAGAATCAGTTCCCACTGCTCTCGCAGTGAAAGCATAGAGAACCTATCTTTACTTTCACTTTCTATTGTTTACTATGCGATTGTTGTGATTGTCCAGGTGACACATGGATTGCTGGGTTCCAGGGTGAGGCTCCCTGGTACATTAGTCCACGTTGGCGCTGCTTCCTGTCCGCCGTCTATAGGCAATGGGTGGACAGAAAGTGGTTAGAGCGGAACTAAACCCTCTCCTTTACAGCCATGGACTCTGCCATCTTAGCCTCTGATTGGTCTGCAATTGCAATGGTGTGACACCTTGGTCAGCTAAGACACCAGCCCTTTGATGATTTGACAATTCGGCTGGCAGCAAACATAAGCACACTGATAACTGTGACAGTTATCATTCATGGTATGCTTTGATTGTAACTGTTTTGGGGGGGCAGTTAAATCTGAACCAAACCCTCCTATCCTCTTCAGCATAGGAAGCTGCCATCTTAGCCTCTATTTGATCTTCAACTGCCATGATGCTGCACATGTGATCAGTTATGAATCCAGTGATTTGATGGTTTGACAGTTTGGTTGACAGCACAAGTAAAATGTGACAGTCCGCATTTCCAGCATACCAGGAATGTAACTGTTTTTTTGAGCCTGTTAAATTGATGGCTTTATTTCCACTTTAAACCTATAGGTTCATTTCCATTTTAAACATTAAAAGAGAAAAATTCCCAGCTCAACTTACCGATTAACTTGCGAACAAACCAAATTGTCCTAACAGTTTGCGTTAAAACAGGAGTTTAGTTAGCACACATTTGCAAATACACGAGCAAGCTGTAGAGCCTCTTCATGGCACCCCAATATTCTGCAGTTCCTCCACCGAAGCTTTTGGCCCCTCCCCCTTGCCAAGTACCCAGAGAGCAGACTGCTTGGGGGTACACGTGCGTGCTTGCTCCCAAATCACCTGTGTGTGTCTATGAAACACACAGTGTGGCTCAGTCTCGTCCCCTCCTCACTGGCTGTGGTTAACAGCAATGGGAGCCAATTGCTCTTGCTGCTGTGTCTCAGCCAATCAGGAGAGAGACTCCTGGGAGAGCCTCAACTCTTGTGCACATTGTTGGATCAGGCAAGTATTGGGATGGCTGTGGGGGGAGCAGCACCCTTAAGGTTTTTTTACCTTCATACATAGAATGCATGAAACAAAAAAAACTTTCAGCCTTTGGAACCACCTTAAATCAATCACCATACAACATCTAAAATCTATACAGATATTTTTGTTTTGTTTCTTCAAAAAGTGAAAAGAAAAAAAAAATATCACAGACTGAAATTTACATTTTAGCCTAATACAAAATCATAATATTAGTTAGATACCTCCTAGTCTTAACCCATCAATAATATCATATATATAATATCAGCTTTACAAACATTATTCCATTGGTTCTCATACAATTTTGTCCAGAACATCAGAAGTGAGCATATAATGGAAGACACAACATGCAACTCCACTTCTTCAGGAAGTGATAGGAGGCTGAGTATATTGTATATCAGAACTAATAATTCAGTCAAGTTTGTTTAAAACTATTTTAGACATGGATGCATGGATATGTGCCAGGGAGGGCTGCAGGCTTACAATCCCCCAAAGGAGTAAAAAGTATGGCATCTGAGGTTAATAACTGATCAGCATTGCAATGGTGGCTATCATCCCTCCAGAGCATCCTTCCCAACAATAAGAAACGAGTCTCAGATTTTTCCCTTAGGATTCCCTGTAGTGCCCCTGGCACATATTGATATCTGTGCATCCATGGCTAAAAGAGTTGGAATCCATGCATCCATGGCTAAACTGGATTTTATGCAGCACATTTGAGGTCACTGCATATTCACTGCACTGCAATGCACCATGCTTCTGTGCAGCAAGATAAATGATGTAAATTTTTACTTTTTTTAACCTTTATATTTACCTTTCTATTGTAAATAAACACTAGATTCTCGTAAGCTGCTAGAAACCGCAAAAAAAACAACTTTAAAGTCTCCGCTGTAGTCTTTCAAGATCTTTGAGGAAGAATTACATCACATCACAGTACATACAGCTAGTGAGGTCTGTGGTTTGTTTAAAATTATTTAATTGCTTGTTAAAAATATGTAAAGACTTTAATGTCCATAGCCTGGGGACAGGTGCACTTTAGTACCTGAATTTATCTTTATAGCAGCTTCTGGCATGGTTCTCAAAAGACCCTGAGCAGAATTTGGCCACCTAGACTGAAATGATGTGGAGCACTATGAAGTACAGGCAAAGGAAGAAACTCAGTGACATTATAAATGTCCCTGGCTTCCTGCAATCTCACGCACAGCAAGATTCGGACATTTGTTGTTTATATATAAGAAGAGAGAGCACAGAGAAGACTTCATCTGTATTTTGCGGTTTCTTAACCATCCAATCACAGGCTGGGACAGCCCTTGATCAACCTATAGAGCTTTAACGGCAGTGAAAAAAAAGTGAGGTCAGGTACCCAGCTATGTCAGAACAAAATTACACATTTTCATGGCTGGTGAACTAGTTTACACATACCCTATACCATTCAAGCCACATAAGTGTATTATAAAGCTATATACAAGATATGCCAACCCCCACCCACAATATAGAAAAAAAATCAAAACACAATTTTACCTTATTTTTAACCTATTCGATCCTGTACATGTATATCATGTGGCCAAAATGGAGAGTAAATGGCTAGCACAGGAAGACATGGATCCTTGGAAATTTAGGGAAGCACCAACACTCCAAGCATATGGTTTTAAAGCTGCCCATAGATAGATTCAAATTTTGCCAGTACAACAGGGACTGGTCTAATTCAATACATCTCTTGCAAGTCCTATTTGAGAACAGTCGATCTGCTGATCAACTGCTCAGGAAAGAGCTTGCTGGAAAACTTTAGTTCTATCAGTGTGCTGGCAATAGGTTGCAGTGCTAAGCAGTTTATTGTGGATCAGTGCAGGAGTCCAGCCGATGCCCTGGATGCATGGATGGAGGAATCAGTTCAAATTTTTTCAGCCTGCTGATGAAAAAAAAAAAGTTGAGCCATGTACGGCCAGTTTAAGAATAAACAGTACTTGTACACCTCTTACATAAACAGCCATCAGACAGGATAAAAAATTGTGTTGAAGCTGTCAAGTGTAGTCCAATAGGACCAGGCCAAGTGGCTCTGAATACGGTCATTGGTCTTCCACATGTATCCTCTCCATTGCAGGTCTAAATTGTAAATCCAGACAATCTGCACCCAGCATGTCACCACCACTGGCCAGTAATTAGGATAGGTTCACACCTGTGTGGGTGGTTATGGGTGCTGAAATCGTACCTCTGTCCATATCCACCCGCAACCAAAACTTGCTGCTCTGTTACAGACACACAGAGCTGCTATTCATTCATAATGGCACCCCCGCACACATCTAAACACAGTGTGTTTGTTCACAGTGTTTGGGAAATTGCAGGGTGCAAAAGCGCCCTGTGATTTTAAAAAGGTGCTGGGTCTTTTATCCTGTACCCACAGGTACAGAAGCCATTCATTTGAAAGGGTTGCTATGCACATGCAAAAGCAAGACACAGCAAACACATAGGTGTGAACCTAGCATAACAGGGAAAAAGGCAGAATGTTAGTGTACACAGTGCAGTAGAATTCAAAACATCTTAATGTGTGATGGCAAAAATATGAAACTAGCAGTTTTCAAGATAAATAAAAGGAAAGACAAGATTAGGAGACAAAAATAGAAAAGCATATAAACTTATAGATGAGAATTACCTGTTTTAGAGGCAGTAGCATAAACTCTTCAGTCTTGGACACCTCCACAAAGTGCTGCAGAACGTACTTGTGTGCAGATTTGAGAAGGTCACTACAGGAGTGTGTGTCTGCAAAGCCACGGATCCCAAGACAGTTAGAGGGGTCCAGCTGACTGAGCAGGAACTTGCAGCAGGCATCTCTCACCCCATTTAGCTGTAAGAGACTGGCAGCGGGGAGAAGAGTCTGGAATACAGAAAAAAAACCCCACATTTTTTTCAATCTTTTTTTTTAGCATGAGATTAATTTATGCATGGAAACAGCAGCACAAGTGAACCAGGTTTCCTAACAGCCAGTGCATACACTGTATTAAAAGGCTAACTCCACCTTTTGCAATAAATAAACCCATATTTGCAGCACAAAAAAGTGCATTTATGTTCTTTTGCAAATGAACCTGCAAAGGATTGCAACTGCAAACAGAGGTTAACTCCAGGAAAGGAGCTAAATCATCGCAGAAGTATAATATATATACAGCAAGCACAAAAAATAAGTATTGAACACGTCACCATTTTTCTCAGTAAATATATTTCTGAAGGTGCTATTGACATGAAATTTTCATGATATGTTGATAACAACCCATGCAATCCATACATGCAAAGAAACCAAAACAATTAAGTTCAGAAATAAAGTTATGTGTAATAAAATGGAACGATACAGGGAAAAAGTATTGAACATGCCAACTGAAATGTATTTAACCACTTGCCTACTGGGCACTTATACCCCCTTCTTTACCAGGCCAATTTTCAGCTTTCAGCGCTGTCACACTTTGATTGACAATTGCGCGGTCATGCAAGATTATACCCATATGAAATTTTTATCATTTTTTTTCTCACAAATAGAGCTTTCTTTTGGTGGTATTTAATCGCAGCTGGACGCTTTACTTTTTGCGCTATAAACAAAAAAATTACAAATAATTTGAGAAAAAAAAAAGGTTTCTTTGCTTCTATTATAAAATTTTTCAAACAGGTAATTTTTCTCCTTCACTGATGTGCGTTGAGGCAGCACTGATGGGCACTGATAGGCAGCACTGATGGGCACTGATAGGCAGCACTAATGAGGTGGCACAGATAGGCGGCACTGATAGGCAGCACTAATGAGGTGTCACGGATAGGCAGCACTGATAGGCGACACTGATGATGGGTACTGATAGCACTGATAGTTGGCTTTGACTGGCATTACTGCTGGGCACTGACTGGCAGCACTGCTGGGCTGCACTGATGGGCACTGGTGGGTGGCACTACTGGGCACAGGTGGGCAGAGCTAGTGGGCGCACTGCTAGGCACAGGTAGGTGGAACTTGTGGGTGGCACTGCTGGTCACCGATCATCAGGGCACTGATCATCAGTGCCCTGATGATCGGTGCCGATCCCCGCTCTAACAACTGCCGGTTCTCGGCAGTACTTTCCTCACGATCTGACAGCGTGAGGAAAGTGCAGCCATGAACCGGCAATTGCATTTCCCGGTGATCAGTGTGTCATTGGACACGACTGATCACGTGGTAAAAGGCCGCTGTGATTGGCCTTTTACCACATCACGTGATCAGCTGTGTCCGTAGGACACAGCAATCACGGAGATTGCCGGGTGCGCGCCCCCGGGGGCACGCAGGAGAGCGCGTTCTGGGAGGACGTCATATGACGCCCACCCAGAACTGGCCGGCCGCAGTGCAGCCGTCATTCGGCTATCTGCGGTCGGCAAGTAGTTAATACTTTGTTCAAAATCCTTTGTTGGTAATGAAAGCTTCAAGATGCCTCCTGTATGGAGAAACTAGTCACATGCATTGCTCAGGTGTGATTTTGGCCCATTCCTCCACACAAATAGTCTTCAAATCTTGAGGTTTTGTGAGCCTATTCTATGAACTTTCTGTACTTCTTTCCACAGATTTTCTGTTGGATTCTAGTCAGGTGAGTGGCTGGGTCATTCTAGCAGCTTTATTTTCTTTCTTTGAAACCAACTGAGAGTTTCCTTGGCTTTGTGTTTGGGACCATTGTCTTGCTGAAATGTATACCCTCAATTCATCTTCATCATCCTGGTAGATGGCAGCAGATTTTTTTTATCAAGAATGTCTTGGTACATTTTTCCATTCATCCTTCCTTTAAAGACATGAAGTTTGCCAGGACCATATGCTGAAAAACAGCCCACACCATGATGTTTCCACCTCTAAATTTCACTGTTATTTTGTTTTTGGGGTGATGTGCAGTGCCATTTCACCTACAAACATGGTGTGTATTATGGCATCCAAAGAGTTTGACTTTGGTCTCATCTGACCAGACTATATTCTCCCAGTAATTCACAGGCTTGTCTAAATGTTGTGCAGCAAACTTGAAAAGGAGTTTCAACATGCTTTTTCTTCAGCAATGGAATCTTGTGTGGTGAGCGTACACACAGGCCATGGTGGTTGAGTGCATTACTTATTGTTATTTGAAACAATTGTACCTGGTAATTCTAAGGCTTTCTGAAGCTCTGCAAAAGTGGTCCTTGTCTCTTAGACAACTCTTCTGATAATTATTTTCACTCCTCTGTCAGAAATCTTGTGAGGGGCACCTGGTCATGGCTGGTTTATGGTGAAATGATGATCTTTCCACTTCCAGATTATGGCCCCAATGGTGCTCACTGGAACATTGAGAAATCCTTCTGTAACCAATGCCATCAGTATGTTTTGCAACAAAAAGGTTGTGAAGGTCTTGAGAGAGTTCTTTACTTTTACCTACCATGAGATGTTTCTTGTGTGACACCTTGGTAATAAGACACCTTTTTATAGGCCATCAGTTGAGACTGAACTAGCTGATATTAACTTGCACTGACAAGGGTCAGGATTGCTTTCTAATTACTGATAAATTTCAACGGGTGTCTTGGCTTTCCATTACTTTTTGCACCTCCCATTCTTCATGTGTTCAATACTTTTCCCTGTGTCATTCCATTTTATTATACATAACTTAATTTCTGAACTTATTTGTTTTGGTTTCTTTGTATGTATGGATTTCAAGGGTTGTTACCAACAAGTGGTAAAAATTTCATGTCAAAAGCACCTTTAGAAATATATTTACTGAATACTTATCTTGTGTGTGCGTTTCTATATCTATATATACACAGTATCTCACAGAAGTGAGTACACACCTCACATTTTTGTAAATATTTTAATCTATCTTTTCATGTGACAACACTGAAGAAATGACACTTTGCTACAATGTAAAGTAGTGAGTGTACAGCTTGCATAACAGTGTAAATTTGCTGTCCTCTCAAAATAATAACACACAGCCATTAATGTCTAAACTGCAGGCAATAAAAGTGAGTCCACCCCTAAGTGACAATGTCCAAATTGGGCCCAAAGTGTCAATATTGTGTGTGGCCACCATTATTTTCCAGCACTGCCTTAACCCTCTTGGGCATGGAGTTCACCAGAGCTTCACAGGTTGCCACTGGAGTCCTCTTCCACTCCTCCATGACTACATCATAGAGCTGGTGGATGTTAGAGACCTTGTGCTCCTCCACCTTCCGTTTGAGTATGCCCCACAGATGCTCAATAGGGTTTAGGTCTGGAGACACGCTTGGCCAGTCCATCACCTTTACCCTCAGCTTCTTTAGCAAGGCAGTCGTCGTCTTGGAGGTGTGTTTGGGGTCATTATGTTAGAATACTGCCCTGCGGTCCAGTCTTCGAAGGGAGGGAATCATGCTCTGCTTCAGTACGTCACAGTACATGTTGGCATTCATGGCTCCCTCAATGAACTGTAGCTCCTAGAGCCGGGAGCACTTATGCAGCCCCCAGACCATGACACTCCCACCACCATGCTTGACTGTAGGCAAGACACACTTATCTTTGTACTCCTCACCTGGTTGCTGCCACACATGCTTCACACCATCTGAAACGAATAAGTTTATCTTGGTCTCATCAGACCAAAGTGTCGCAAAAACTGCGCAAAACACAGTGAAGTACGTAGTTCAACCATTTTGTAGGCACCTCCATCTTGGTATGGAGTATATACTGTGTCTCTCATTTCTCATTCTCGTTCCCGAGAGGCACAGTGACAGATGTATGTGTGTTAAAAGTGTCACTGGCAGGTAGAACAGCAGGGGGCCCAGAGCTACAAAGCCCCCAGGAGAGACAGAGCCTAGCTGCCCAAGAACCTGTTTAATCTCTCACCTCGTAACAGAGATAAGGCAGCTTTTCCCAGGAATTGAAAGAGATTGTAACCTCATAAAACCTAGCAGCGTAGGTGACAGAATTAAATGAACATTCCTCAAGTCAGTTTGTCCCCTATGTTCATATCATGGATTATGGCAGATGTTGGTTCTAATTCAGAGTTCGCCCGACGATCCGTCCCTAAACAGAAAATTGGTCAGTTACTCAGAGCCACCCCCCTGCTGGGGGACTTTAAAACACAGGCTAGCAGGCCTAAAAAGTTAAGTTGAAGACATCTCCCAATTGTAACATCAATATACCACCTGGGGAGACTCCTTGCTCTGAAACTTGGATCTGCTTATGGCTAAGGCTTAATTGGCAACTTAACCCTTTAACGTCCTCTCTGATATCTCTTTGCTGTGCTATGGTTCATTGTATGTATGTATGTATGTATGTATATATATATATATATATATATATATATATATATATATATCTTAGTTACATCTCCTTTGTAAATATTTTTATTGCACCTGTTTGACCCTTTTAGTAATAAATCTTTCTTCTGAAAGTGTTGAACTGTTTCTATAGCTTTTAATTGCAATTTACGAATCCCTGCCTCTAAAGAGACGCTACTGAGTTTGTTTAATCCTCTGCCCAATCGGCCTGCGGTGTCTGTATTGGACAGACGACTTTTCAACCATTACAGTGTATATTTGATAAAGAGTTTCCCCTTTCTCTGTACAAAAAGGGGTGGTGGCAGTGAAGGGTTAGTTGCGTAATTAATCCGACCCAGTAACAATCGCTCAGGCTGACGGCACATCGATCGGTTGACCATTAGCTGGAAAATCGCTGTGTAGGGTGCAGCTGGGTGTGGCATTGTTACGCACGTCACATCGCGGTCTGGATCGCCCAGTCCTTCGGTCACGAGGTTGGTGAGAAGGTCTGGGGTCTGACGCCGTGATCGTGACGTATTGGTGGTCGCGGTCGTGAGATTGTCGCATGTTGTTGGCGGCGATCTTGCGCCCGTGACACAAAGGACATGGTTTCAGTAATCCATGTCCTTAGTCTGCTTGTCTTCAGCAAACTGTTTGTGGGCTTTCTTGTGCATCATCTTTAGAAGAGGCTTCCTTCTGGGATGACAGCCATGCAGACCAATTTGATGCAGTGTGCGGCGTATGGTCTGAGCACTGACAGGCTGACCCCCCACCCCTTCAACCTCTGCAGCAATGCTGGCAACACTCATACGTCTATTTCCCAAAGACAACCTCTGGATAGGATGCTGAGCACGTGCACTCAGCTTCTTTGGTCGACCATGGTGAGGCCTGTTCTGAGTGGAACCTATCCTGTTAAACCGTTGTATGGTCTTGGCCACTGTGCTGAGGCTCAGTTTCAGGGTCTTGGCAATCTGCTTATAGCCTAGGCCATCTTTATGTAGAGCAACATTTTTATTTTTTCAGATCCTCAGAGAGTTCTTTGCCAGGAGGTGCCATGTTGAACTTCCAGGGACCAGTATGAGAGAGTGAGAGCGATAACAACAAATTTAACACACTTGCTCCCCATTCACACCTGAGACCTTGTAATACTAACGAGTCACATGACACCGGAGAGGGAAAATGGCTAATTGGGCCCAATTTGAACATTCTAATTTAGGGGTCTACTCACTTTTGCTGCCAGCGGTTTAGACATCAATGGCTGTGTGTTGAGTTATTTTGAGGGGACAGCAAATTTACACTGTTATACAAGCTGTACACTCACTACTTTACATTGTAGCAAAGTGTCATATATATATATATATATATATATATATATATATATATATATATATATATATATATATACTGTTTTATCTACCAAAGGATCCATATTTCAATCCACTTGTACAACTCTGGCAGGACAGCTTGCTGATTGAACAGTGGAGAACTGCAGATTGATAAACTCAGAAGACTGTTGTCTCCTCCTGTCAGTGTGGTCCTTGTACGTAGATTAGCTTGCAGTACACTTGATTGACCACTGCTGCAACCCTCAGTTATACTATGTAGACGATTGTAAGAGGCTGATATCAAGTCAAATTCAGGTACATTAGCTGTATTTACCAATACATCTAGGGTGTAGCTATAAAAACAATTGCACCGGTATTCATCGAATGAAACTGCTAGTACACTCGTTCTGTGTGAATGGGGCAATATCAGATATTCTCAGGCTATTTTTAATACAGATTGAAGTTTATTTATTCATATAAAACAGTTTGTGTTTTTTTAAAAAAACAGCATGAACACCCCTACATTGAGTGTATACAGTGCCTTGAAGAATTATTCATACCCCTTGAAATTTTCCACATTTTGTCATATTACCACCAAAAACGTAAATGGGTTTTATTGGAATTTTATGTGATAGACCAACACAAAGTGGCACCATAATTGTGGAAGGAAAATGATAAATGGTTTTCAAATTTTTTTTTACAAAATCAATCTTAAAAGTGTGGTGTACATTTGTATTCAGCCTCCCTGAGTCAATACTTTGTAGAAACACCTTTCGCTGCAATTACAGCTGCAAGTCTTTTTGGGGATGTCTCTGCCAGCTTTGTACATCTAGAGAATGACATTTTTGCCCATTCTTTTAAAATAGCTCAAGCTCTGTCAGATTGGATGGAGAGCGTCTGTGAACAGCAATTTTCAAGTCTTGCCACACATTCTCAATTGGATTAGGTCTGGACTTTGACTGGGCCATTCTAACACATGAATTTGCTTTGATTTAAACCATTCCATTGTAGCTCTGGCTGTATGTTTAGGGTTGTTGTCCTGCTGAAAGGTGAACCTCCGCCCCAGTCTCAAGTCTTTTGGAGACTCTAACCGGTTTTCTTCTAAGATTGCCCTGTATTTGGCTCCATCCATCTTCCCATCAACTCTAAGCAGCTTCCCTCTCTCCCTGCTGAAGAAAAGCATCCCCACAACATGATGCTGCCACCACCATGTTTCACAGTGGGGATAGTGTGTTCAAGATGATGTGCAGTGTTAGTTTTCCACCTGTGAGAACTCGCTTCCAGTGGTAGAGCTTTTGTAACGCACACAGCAACTCGCTTGTTTTTTTTTTAAGGGCCTTTTCAGCCCACTTTTATTTAAATGAAAGTTCAATAAAGCTTCCCACGAAGGGGTATCCACCATCACACACATGAAAATGAAATTCAGCCTCCTGGCTCTCTCAAATAACAATCTTCCTCTTCAGGCTTACATCTGTCTCCTACAGACTCTTTCTGAAATGGCTTTACCGCACACAGCTATCCATTAGCACACAGCTACTCGGGCTTCCACCTCTCCTTGGTGAAGCCCTCCTGACTCCAAGGGAGGGACCTCCTGTCTGCCAGGGTGGAGCCCTCCTGACTCCTGTCTGCCCGGGTGGAGCCCAGAATCATGGCTTGGCCTCCACAAAAAGGCCTGCACACACCTGTGCAATCAGCGTGCTGGCTGCTCTCAAAACATGGGCCCAGGATTGGAGATTTCATCCCTCCCATATCTCTTAGAAATCTCCAGGCTACAGGTCCCAAAACAGGCTTTATAAACCAAAGAGGAAACTTATAAACCAGTTTCCTCTGCATTATGAGAACTGCCTGGAGCCCCTCAACCTGTACGGTTGAGAATCCTGGGTCTCCAGCATGATTTCCACGTGGCAGGATACCGCATTGCCACACACCACACAGCATTTTGCTTTTAGGCAAAAAAGTTCAATTTTGGTCTTATCTGACCAGAGCACCTTCTTCCACATGTTTGCGGTGTCCCCCACATGGCTTCTCACAAACTGCAAATGGGACTTCTTCCTGTGGACAGATTCTCCCACCTGAGCTGTGGATCTCTGCAGATCCTCCAGAGTTACCATGGGCCTCTAGGCAGCTTCTCTGATTAATGTTCTCCTTGCCTGGCCTGTCAGTTTAGGTGGACGGCCATGTCTTGGTAGCTTTTTAATTGTGCCATACTCTTTCCATTTTCAGATGATGGATTGAACAGTACTCCCTAAGATGTTCTTGGGATATGCTTGGGATATTTTTTTTTTTTTTTTTTTTTATAACCTAACCCTACTTTATTCTTCTCCACAAATGTATCCCTGACCTGTCTGGTGTGTTCCTTGGCCTTTATTATACTGTTTGTTCCTTAATGTTCTCTAACAAACCTCTGAGGGCTTCACAGAACAGCTGTATATAAACAGATTCAATTACACACAGGTGGACTCTATTTACGAATCAGGTGACTTCTGAGGCAATTGGTTCCACTAGATTTTAAATAAGGGTATCAGAGTAAAGGGGGCTGAATACAAATGCACACCACACTTTTCAGATATTTATTTGTAAAAAAATTTTAAACCATTTATCAATTTTCCTTCCACTTCACAATTATATGCCACTTTGTGTTGGTCTAGATCACATAAAATCTCAATAAAATGCATTTATATTCGACCTGTAGAATTAAAAGAAGGAGAACATTCGATTTTGCCCCATTTGCACAAAACAAATATACCAGCAGTTTTGCTGGACGAATACCGTAGGTGTGCAAATTTTTTTTAAAATATACCCTTAATAATTTTAATGAATACACGGCTAAAATGACTGGCATTGTTTTTATATCTGCTTGGAGTCCAGCTTTCATTTAAATTGATTGTTTAGGCAGTGCCTGGTTCTGACAAATCAAACAAAGCATGTGGACAGATTTAGGCATACTGCTCCAAATAAGAGAAAGATTATAACTGGGACCATAGCTTCCTTATAGATGTACAGTCTTTCTAGTATGAGTTCATTGTATATTTGCTACATACCTGCACATTGCCTTCTCCAACAACAATCTCTGCTGTGTAAGCATATTGTACAAGCTGCTCCAGTGCTTGAGGGTCAATGTCATGCAAAGTCACATGAGTCTGCCGACTCTCACTCATCTCATCTGTCAAGGATTGAGATAAAAGAAAAAATAATAAAAATGTGCATGTCTTACATGACATTAAGTATATGAAATTAATAGAATATGTATATTTGTCCAGACCATAGAATTGCAACCTCTATTGAACACTTAAATTCCTCTGGATAATGGATTTTGCTTCTTGAACACTTTTTTAATCTTATAGCTGCTAATCATGAAAGTAACCTGTAATTTAACTTATGTACGGTTTATAGAAATCTTCTGTTTTTGTAATTTGCAATACCTGTTGGCTATGCTGCACATATGAAAGAAACACACAAAAATATGGACCTTTTGTTGAAGCACATCTGGTATACCAAGAACAACTTTTTTTTTTTTCATATTTCACTATGACCAAAGTAGTACAATGTTACCATAGTAACATTGTACTACTTTGGGGAAGTGATCAGTATTTTTTTTTTTTTTTTTTTTATACACAATTTGCTTATAGCAAAGAATTACTTTGCTATAAGCAAGCATTTACCTGAATGACATCGATTCATTCAGGGTTTTTTTTTTTTGTGTTTAGCTGTGATTTGGCCACAGCTAATCACATGACATGTCCATGTGATTAGCTGTGACCATTCACAGCTAGACACTAGTATACAATGGATGGCATGAATGAAGCCATCAATTGTATACAACTGTCATGTGACCTGCTGTGATAAGTCACAGCAGGTCACATGGTACCGGCAATGGGGCCGATACTCAGATCTGTCATCGGCCGTTCCGAGGTACACGGCCAGTGACAGATCGCGCCGCTGCGCGGCTGTGCAGGAGCGTAATCTGCGCATGTGCGGGAGGATGCCATATGGCGTCCACCTGGAACGCTGATGACATTTGCCGGCCGCCATTTGGCCATAGGGCGGGCGACAAATGGTTAAGGAAGGCATTTTTGTTGGTCCACAGATCAGGTGTCATCAAAGACAGGCTGTTTGAAGACCGGTTAGTGGGGTCTGAAAAAAAAAAAAAAAAAAATCGCCTGGAAAGTATTCAGATGTCATTGAGAATTTTCTTGGCAACTATAGAGCACCAAACTGTATTCAGTTGGTGGACACATTTCTTACAACAAAACAAGACCATGAAGTGCAGCTGGTCGCTAAAGATTCATTTTTTTGCATTCACATTTGACTTCTTTCCCAAAAACCTTGGTGCAGTCTGTAATAAACATGGTGAAAGGTTTCACCAGAACCTTGCCACAATGGAAAGCGGTATCAAGGCAAATGGAATTCAACAATGCTGGCTGACTATAGTTGGACACTGCAGCGAGATGCCCAGGACACAGAGTACAAAGGAAAATCATCAGCAAAATATAGTTAAACTCACACAGTGTGTCTGACACATTATGCGATTAAATACATTACAGCAACCTTTCTCCACCAGGGTGCCCAGGCACCCTAGGCTGCCTTGAGGTTTCTTCAGGGGTTCCTTGGCAAAATGTCTAAAAATTGCCCAAAACCTATATACAAGCCAGTGGGTGGAATGAGCTTGCCTTTTAGTTATACAAAGCCAAAACTTATCATTGTGCACCATTAAGGCAAAAGTGACAACTAAGTGGTTCGGAAAACAAAACATCGAAATTTAGTCAGGAAATTCCCCAGACCTTAATTCCATTGAGAACTTGTGGTCAGTCCTCAAGAGGTGGGTGAACCAAAAAAAACCCCCACAAATTCTGACAAACTTCAAGCACTGATTATGCAAGAATGGGCTGCCATCTGTCAGGATGTGGCCCAGAAATTGATTGATAGCATGTTTGACAGCGAATTGCAGAGGACAGCATGATTGATGGTGTTTTGCAGAGGTCTGGAAAAAGAAGGGTTAACACTGCAAATATTGATGCTTTGCATAAACAATATAAATTGTCAATAAAAGCCTTTGACACTTATGAAATGCTTGTACTTGTACTTGAGTATACCATAGTAACATCTGACAAAAGATCTAAATAAACACTGAAGCAGCAGACTTTGTGAAAATTAATATTTGTGTCATTTTCAACACTTTTGGCCAGGGCTGTATAGTGCGAACTGACACAGTTGTACCCTGTGCCTGAAGGTCTGCTTGAATTTGTCTGGAAGTTGATCGAGGTTCTTTAGCCACCATTTGAACAATCCTTTTATTGTAATCTATGATCAATTTTTCTGTTTAGTCCACATCCACGGAGATTAGCTACAGTGCCATGGGCTGTAAACCTCTTTACAATTTTGCACACAGTGGACACAGAACATTAAGATCTCTGGAGATGGACTTGTAATGTTGAGATTGTCCACAATTTTTGCTCTCAAATCCTCAGACAATTCTTTGCTGCCATTTCCCTTTTCCATGTGACACACAGAGACACAGCAGAAAGGTTGAACCAATTTTTTACCATTTTAACTGATTTCTGGTGTGATTTAGATATTGTCAGCACCTGTTAATTGATACAGGCGAGTTTAATTACAAATTACAGGAGCATCACAAACTTTGAATGCAATTATTTCTTACAATTTTGAGAAGGTGCCAATAATTTTTTCCAGTCCATTTTTGGAATTTTGGGTGTCAGATTTGGCTTTTTGTATCTCTATTTTTTTGTGTCATGCCAATACAAACAAAAGAAATAAACATGAGAATGCCTAAACATTTGTAATTGCAACAACTTTCTGGGCAAAGTAGTGCATTATCTGACAGAAATGCAGGGGTGCCAATGTTTTTGGTCATGACTGTAGTTCTATAGGTTACAGGTAAAAAAAAACAGCCAATGGTAATTCATCTTTTTTCCAATGAGGTTATATCAGACTGCTCTAAGGGAACAAGTGATCATAACAGGTTACCACAAAGTTTTGCATCTTCTATCACGTTAATTAAAAAAAACCGTAATAAAGAATAACAAAGAAAAAAAAAACTCAGTCCACATAGTCCATACTGTACATACAACACTTCAAAATAATACTTCACTGATGTTATTCAATCACGCCAAACAATGTCCCGGCCTCCAATAGTTACTTATAGGTATTTTACACTGCATAAGTATTGTCTTAAAGTGATTGTAAACTTTGTTTTTTATTTAATTTATTTTTTAAATAAAAAAAACAGGGTTTATACTTACCTGCTCTGTGCAATGGAATTGCATATACAGTTGCAAGAAAAAGTATGTGAACCCCTTGGGATTACGTGGAGTTTTGCATGAATTGGGCATAAAATGTGCTCTGAACGTCATCTAAGTCACAACAATAGAAGAACACAGTCTGATGAACATAATACTACACAAACATTAGATGTTGCCATGGTTTAATTGCACATAACATGTAAACATTCACAGTGCAGGGAGGAAAAAGTATGTGAACCTTTGGACTTAATAACTGGTTGACCCTCCTTTGGCAGCAATAACCTCAACCAAACGTTTCCTGTAGTTGCAGATCAGACCTGCACAACGATCTGGAGTCATTTTGGACCACCCCTCTTCACAAAACTGTTTCAGTGTAGCAATATTCTTGGGATGTCTGGTGTGAATCGCTCTCTTAAGGTCATGCCACAGCATTTGAATCGGGTTGAGGTCAGGACTCTGACTGGGCCACTCCAGAAGGCGTATTCTGTGCTGTTGCAGCCATTGTTTTGTTGAATGACTTGTATGCTTTGGGTCATTGTCCTGTTGCATCACCCATCCTCTGCGGAGCTTCAGTTGGCGGACAGATGGTCGTATGTTTTCCTGCAAAATGTCTTGATAAACTCTGGATTTCATTTTCCCATCAATGACAAACAATCCGTCCAGGCCCTGAGGCAGCAAAGCAGCCCCAAACCATGATGCTCCCTCCGCCATGTTTCACAGTGGGGGATGAGGTTTTGATGTTGGTGTGCTGTGCCTTTTTTTCTCCACACAGTGTTGTGTGTTCTTCCCAAACAACTCAATCTTGGTTTCATCTGTCCACAGTATATTTTGCCAGTAGTGCTGTGGAACACCCAGGTGCTCTTTTGCAAACTTCAAACGTGCTGCAATATTCCTTTTGGACAGCAATGGCTTCCTCCGTGGTGTCCTCCCATGTACTCCATTCTTGTTTAATGTTTTCCTTATTGTAGATGTGTCAACAAAAATGTTAGCATGTGCCAGAGATTTCTGTAGGTCTTTAGCTGACACTCTGGGATTCTTCTTTTACCTCCTGCAGCATTCTGCGCTGGGCTCTTGCAGTCATTTTTACAGGACGACCACGCCTAGGGAGAGTAGCAACAGTGCTAAACTTTCTCCATTTGTAGACAGTCTGTCTTACCGTGGACACATGAACATCAAGGCTTTTGGAGATACTTTTGTAACCCTTTCCAGCTTCATGAAAGTCAACAATTCTTGATCGTAGGTCTTCTGAGAGCTGTTTTCTGCGAGGCATGATTCACATCAGACAGTGCTTCTTGAAACCAGTAAACCCAAAACAGGTGTGTGTTTTATAAGGGCAGGACAGCTGTCAGCGACACATCCAATATCATCACAGTGATTGGAGTCAAGGTTGGCTCACTCCTGGCTCCAATTAGCTCTGGGAGAAGTCATTAAGCTAGGGCCTCACATACTTTTTCCTCCCTGCACTGTGAATGTTTACATGTTATGTGCAATTAAACCATGGCAACATCTAATGTTTGTGTAGTATTATGTTCAGCAGACTGTGTTCTTCTATTGTTGTGACTTAGATGACGTTCAGAGCACATTTTATGCCCAATTCATGCAAAAACTCCACGTAATCCCAAGGGGTTCACATACCTTTTCTTGCAACTGTACTACCCTGAACCTCCTCTTCTTGGGTCCCCCACTGGCCCCCCTGGCTCCTACTCTTCTTGGTGTGCCCTCATAGCAAGTGACTTGCACACCTGCAGGCTCGCTCCTGAGCTGCACTGCCTGCGTCTATAAAAACAAACAGCGTGGCTTGGTCCTGCCCCTGTTCCTTTGTCACAGGAGCCAATGGCTCCTTCTGCTCTTAAGCCAAGCCTGTGAGAGAAGGGAGAAAGAAGAGAGTTGCTACACATGTGCA